TGGTTTCTTCCAGTTCGTGGCTTAGCTTCTTGTTTTCTTAGCAGGATCAGCTGGTAAATGGGTAAGCAAAATGCAGTGTATCCAAACACTACTCAGAAATTAAGAACTAACAGGGGTCTGGGGCTGTGGTTCAGCGGTAGAGTGCTTGCCTCACATGTTCGAGACCCTGGGTTTGATCCTCAGCACCACATAAAAATAAATAAGTAAAATAAAGGTGTTGTGTCCAACTACAACTAAGAAATAAAACATTAAAAAAAAAAAAACTAACGGGGCTTTAGGATATAGCTCAGTTGGTAGAGTGCTTGCCTTGCACGCGCAAGACCCCTAGGTTCAATACCCAGCATCACCACCAAAAAAAAAAAAGTCATTTATATAATTTAAGTGTACTATATTAAATGTCATCCAGACCAAAAAAAAAAAAAAAAAAGAAGAAGAAAAAGGAAAAATCCTTGAATCTCAAAAGTATCATACTAAGTGAAAGAAATCAGAAGTAAAGCACCACGTTTTGTATGGGTACATTTATATGAAATGTCAAGAAAAGGCAAACTGAGAAACAGAAAGCAGATCAGTGGTTACCTAGGGACCTGGGGTGTGTGACAGCAGGATGAACTGCAAACAGGCCCAAGAGAACTTGGATGATGGGAATGTTCTAAAGCTGGATTTTATGATAGTTGCATAACTCTAAAAATGTGCCAATAACATTGAATAGTATCCTTACAATGAGTGAATTTTATGGCATATAAATTTATCTTCATTCAAAAAATGTCTTTAAAAGAGATGGCCTGTAATGGGCTAGAACCTTTGAGAACTTTCTGGTAAATGGAAGACAAAAGACCAGTGGCCAAAATATATAAACAGCTTCTACAAGTCAATAAAATGGTGAACACCTGAGTAGAAAAAAGAACTAAAGACTTGAACCAGAAGTTCTCAGAAACGACAATACTGCACATCAACCAGCGGCAAGATGTTCAACCTCACTCACTGCTAAAGGAACAGGTGCGGCCTCTAACTTATGATTCTCTTGCCTCAGCCTCCCATTGAGCAGTAGTTCCTGGGATCACAGGTGTGCACCACCACGCCCACTTTCATTCTGATCATCTTTAAATCAACTCCCAATCGAAGGAGGTTTAGGTTGCTTCCAAACTTCTGCGGATACAAATGATGGTGCAGTTAGCTTCCTAGGTTGAAGGTATGTATTTTCAGCTTGAGAAAGTGCTGCTAAAACACCTTCCAAAGTGGCTGAACCAGTTTACACTCCAGCAGGGGATGGAAGTATGTCACCATTCATCTATCCTTCACTATTAATTTTTAAAAAATCACAATATCTTACAGTATTTTGGAAGGGCAAAATATTATGCAAGTTCGTGTTTTCCTTGCTAGAATGAGGGCAAATATCGTTTCCCTGTTCTTTGATCTTTAAGTTTATTTTTCCTTGAATTGCTTGTTGATGCTCTGGCCCCTTTTCCAAATTGAGTTGTCCACTTTTTATCTGTTTATAAGAACTCTTTTTTAAAAATATTTATCTTTTAGTTATAAGTGGACACAATGTCTTTATTTTATTTTATGTGGTGCTGAGGATCAAACCCAGTGCCTCATGCGTGCTAGGAATGTGCTCTTACCTCTAAGCCACAACCCAGCCCTGTAAGAACTCTTTTTATAGTACAGATATCAAACTTTTATCAAGTATATATGTATGTGCACAAAGGATCAATATGTATACACACACATGATAGAAGATCAAAAGTATATATACACACTGTATTAGTCAGTTCAGGCTGCTATAACAACATGCTATAGACTGGATTGCTTAACAGAAATTTATTTTCTCACAGTTCTAAAATCGTAGAAATCCTGGTTGGTTACTGGTGAGGCCTCTCTTCTTGGCTCACCAGGGAGCCCCCTCCTCACTGAGCACTCACATAGCCTCTTCTTTGTGCATGAAATGAAAGAGCTGGTGAGCCACCTCTCTCACGATTCTCATAAGGGCACTGGTCCTATAATATCAAGGCCCACCCTTATGATCTTGTTTATTCCTGACTCACTCATTAGAGAGCCTCCTTCAACATGAGTTGGGGGACATAGTTCAGCTCATTGCACACACATATAACAAATATTTTCTATTGCAGTTAGCTTCGGGGGTTTTGTTTTTGTTTGATACTGGGGGTTGAACTCAGCGGCCCTTTACCACTTGGCCACATCCCCAACCCTTTTTTTCAAATCATTATTATTTTGAGACAGGGTCTCACTGAGTTGCTTAGGGCCTCCCTAAGTTGCTGAGGCTGGCTTTGAACTTTGATCATCTTCTCCAAAATGTACCATCTTAAGACTTTTTTTTTTTTTTTAGTACCAGGAGTTGAACCCAGGGGTGCTTAACCACTGAGCCATATCCTCAGCCTTTTTATTTTTTTATTTTGAGATAGGATCTCACTGAGTTGCTTAGGGCCTCACTAAGTTGCTGAGGCTGGCTTTGAATTTGCAATCCTCCTGCCTAAATCTTCTGAGTCACTGGGATTATAGGTGTGCACTACCACGCCCGGCATCACTTAAGATTTCAAATTTTTGAGCGTACAATTCAGTAATACTAAGCACACTGAGATTGTTGAACAACTAATTTCCAGAACTCTTCCTCTTGCAAAACTGAAACTTAACTCCCATGAAATAGCCCTCACTCCCCTGCCCCCCAGGGACATGGTACCATGGAAACATATAATATTGCCTTCTCATGATTGGCTCGTTTCACTAGCTTGGTGTTGTCAAGGTTCACTCATGTTGTATCATGTGTCAAAACTTCAGTACTGTTTTTAGGTTGAATGACATTCCATCGCCTGTACTACCACATTTTGTTTATCCATTCATTCATTCGTCAGTGGACACTCGAGTTATTTCCTCAATACTTTCTGGCTATTATGAATAAGGCTGCTATGAATAAGAGCATACAAATATGTTATTTCTTTTGGAGAAGTGGAATTGCTGGATCATATGCTAGTTCTATTTTTAGCCTTTGAGGAACTGCCTGTTTTCTTTTTTTTCTTTTGAGAGAGAGAGAGAGAGAGAGAATTTTTTAATATTTATTTTTTAGTTTTTGGCGGACACAACATCTTTGTTTGTATGTGGTGCTGAGGATCGAACCCAGACTGCACGCATGCCAGGCGAGTGCGCTACCGCTTGAGCCACATCCCCAGCCCCTGCCTAACTGTTTTCTATAGGGACTGCTCAATTTTATATTCCCACTAGCAATGCACAGAGGAAGTTTTCTACATATCCTGATCAAGACTTTTTCTTTTCTTTCTTCTAGCCATCCTAATAAGTATGAGATGATTTGGCTTTGTTGTTTGTTGTTGTTTGTTTTTTGATGGTGCTGGGGATCAAACCCAGGGCTGTGTGCAAGGCAACACTCTACCAACTGAGCTACATCCCCAGCCCTGGCTTTGTTTTTGTGCCACAGGCCAGCCAGTAGACAGAGAACAACTTGTAGTCAGGTTTAACTAACTAGACTTCAGTTAGGCAGCTTATGTCCACGTCTTGGCTCTGCCACAATCTAGCCATGCACCTCATGCAAATCCCTCCAGACCCCATTGCCTAATCTGTGAAATGGGTAGAACAGTCATGTTGCTCTTCTAGAGTTGTAATTTCAGTAAGATAAGATGCTTAAAGGATTTAGCACAAGGCGATCTCAGATTTAGCAATCTTTTTTTTTTTTTAAAATGTTTTTTAGTTGTTGACGGACCTTTATTTTTATTCATTTATTTATATGCAGTGCTGAGAATTGAACTCAGTGCCTCAAACATGCTAGGCAAGCTTTCTACCACTGAGCCACAACCCCAGCCCGGCAATCTTTTTAAATGTGTCTTTAAGACCCCAAGTAAAAATCCTCCTCCTATCTTCCCCTTTCCACTTTCTTTTATAGCTTTGACTTTTGCCCCTAGGTGTGTAGATGAATTGAGATTTATTTTCTACATGATTTTCCAAGGGTAGTCCTTTGGTGACTAGTGCATCCTCACTACACACACACACACACACACACACACACACACACACACGCACTTCATCATCTCTTACTTTTGGCTTTGAAGGTCTGTTTCTGACCCCTCCTCTCTGTCAACTGATCTACTCCTGAGCCAACCCCACTTCCTAGAGCTTTGGAACAAGTAATGCTAGCCCGTTAGAGCAAGCCCCTTTTGTTCCTTTTCAAAACTGGCTTGGCTCTTCTTACACTCTCCTTTTCTAAATTCAGCCTATTAGATAAAAAATAATGGTAACTGTGGTGGCCGAGTCTGGAATGCAAAATCCTAAGAAACTAACCTGGAGGAAAAGGTTTGTGTTTGACTCCTTTTATTCTTTTAAAACTTCTGTCTCCTAGAATTCAATCTCTCCCTTCTCTCCTACTCCCAGGTAGGTCTGGGAGTTCTTTCCTCAAGGATCAGACCACAACCACTTCAGATAAAAGTTCTTATGATCCTACTTCCCCTGGAACAAAGAAGGCAACAAATTGCCAAGTGACATTTGAAAAAAAACTGGACAATCGCTTTGGGGAGACCAGCCATTCAGGGAGGTGGCCTTGGTAACACAGCCGACAGTGTGCCAAGATGAGCCCCAGGCCTCTGGATTCTCCTCCAAGGACTCTGAAACAGACATTTTCACAGGAACAACTAGAGAGTTCCAGAATCACAAGCCCTTGGATCTGGGGGTACTTGGGTCTGGCGGTACTTGGGTCTGGGGCTTGACTCCTTCCAGCCCCACTGTACAGATGGAGCAAGTGAGTTTGGAGGCTGGAGCGGCAAACCTTGGTGGATCTGGTCTCTGCTCTCTCCCCAGAGCCGGGCAGGAGGATCGGGCGCTATCTGATGGTGGAAGGGAACGTACTGTCCTCGGGGCTCCATCCCCACCCTGTGCACACCAGTGGTCAAGCCTCTGGATTTCACTTTTAACTGGAGGGTACCTTGGAGTGAGTCCCCATCTCTCCACATCCTTTCCCATTTTAAGAAGAGACCAGGGCTTGGTTCATGCTGTTCATCAGGTTTATTGTCACTCGCAGTGGGCAGCAGGTGAAGGGGACAACAGCCACACCCCACCATGGCAGAGATGGCCCTGGGCCACCGGGCACTATTCACACACGAGCCACCCAGAGGGACACGTCCTCACTGGCAGCAGCTGCACTTCTCCGCCTCCGCCTCGGCGCCCTCGCCACCCTTGCACACACAGTCCTTGGCACACTTCTCACATTCCGCAGGGCAGCAGGAGCAGCAGCCTGCGGACAAAATGGGGGTGCTCCTCTGATGTCTCCCATCTGTCCCCAGCAGAGGAAGGGGAGGGGGACAGGTGCTGGGAGGTGAGGAGTCATCCCCATTTAGTCTCTGCTGGTGGCTGCCCGCTTCCTTCTCTCACACCTGGTCTGACTCAGCACCTATGGTGCCCCAGCTGCATACGGGGCTTCTATAGGATTATTCCCCGCCCCCACCATCTCATAGCTCCTTTGGTGGGTGCCAGTCATGCTGAGCTGAGGCCCAGGCTCAGAGAGGCCTAGGCCTTAAGGAGAAAGCTTGCCAGGCAAATGGTCTTGGAAGAGACCTTGCAGGATCAACTCAGAGGAGTTGGGATGGTGCAGTTGTGGGGGGATCTGTGGCTGTTCTTGCACCCAGTGGAGGAAGGCAGCCTTCCTTCCCTCTCCTGTCCCCTCTATGAATTTCATACTGCTGAGGGGTGGGGAGGCCAAATTGAGGGGCATCCACAGGCCTGAGAGGGAGCAAGGACTGGAACTCCCGAGCTAACCCCAGTTGGCTCATGGCCTCCCCAGGCACCCGGGTTTTTGAAGAGTGGGCTCCAGGGCAGAGGTTGGACCAGAGGAGCTGTTCTCCACCCCCAGCTGCCCGATGGAATCTTCTGGGAACTAGCAAAAACGTCTCATCGCAATCCCACTGCATCAGTCTCTGGGCCTCTGTATTTTAACTTCTGCCTGCAGGTTTGGACGCTGGGCCTAGGGGTCCCTCTATAT